GAGATAGAGATAGAGATAGAGATAGAGATAGAGATAGAGATAGATATATAAAGGTGGGTGGGTGGGTGAGAATAGGATTAATCTTTCCATGTAGTGGTGGCCCATGGATTGTGATAAGGAGGCGCCTCACTCAGAAATGGTGGGAGGGGAGGCATCATGAGCTGCCTATTTTATGGTTTGGATACAAAGCAATCCTTACTGGAAAGAAAGGCCTGTTAGAGCCTGTTGTCCAGCAACAGTGGAAGTGCCCAAGCCAGGAAGGTGGAGGATAATCTGTCTGTAACACTTTGGGATAGATTGCAAGCAGAGGAAGCAAGCAGGCATAAAAATAAAGGTTGAGTTCCTAATCTCTTTCTGTCTAAGCCATTTTATCCCTAGTGGGGCAAGAGAATAGGAAGAACAGGTGCAGAAGCTGCTGCATCTTCCATGACTGCTCATGTTGCCAATAATAAAGCTGATGCTATAGACTCTCCCTCAGTTTGCCATATGCTAGCCATTCTGGGCTTCAGAATTAATTTTAACTTCTGAGCAGTTCTGCAAGTTATGCTATGTCAAGCATTACTGAATTGCCCAAGGCTACAGATCTTTTCTATACAATGTTGCACATAAAATTCAAACAGTTAAGCAAATGCTCAAATCGGAATTCACTTCTTTCCAAACTTGATATGTACCTCACCCCACATGGACAAATATATTTACATAGGATACAAATGCACATACTTGCACTACACAAATGGTTGTGTGCGAGGAGGTCTGATGAGCTCAATATAACAGACATTTGAAGTGGGATTAATTCATAAAAGCTTCTGCCATAATACATTTGCTAGTTGTAAAGATGTTTTTACATTAATCTTAATATTCTGGATTAGGTTTATTGTCTAGATCTGTGCTGGCAAACCTATGGCATACATGCCAGAAATGGCACATGAAGCCATTTTCCCTGGCACATGGAGCGGGGAAGAGGAGGAAAAGGCAAGGGCCTGTTCCTCCTCCTCCTGGCCATCTCAAGCCTTCAGCTGCCTCTGGAAAGGCAGCTAAAGGCCTGGGAATGTGCAGGGGGGAGAAGTCCTGCCCCGGAAGTCCCATTCCCCCCAAAAGTCCCATTTGCCTCGGAAGTCCTGCCTCCAGCACAGGGTAACACCCGGTGCTGGAAGGCCATTTAATTTGGACACTCAGTGCCTAATAGGTTTGCCATCACTGGTCTATATATTGATATTAATTTGGTTGATATTGCCTAGAAACATTTGGGCCATGCTGAGAAAATTAAATCAGCCAGTGTGGTGTAGTAGTTTGGGGACTAGACTAGACTCTGGAGATGAGGGTTCAAATCTCTGCTTGGCCATGGAAGCCCACTGTCTGATGTTGGGCAAGTCACTCTGTCAGCCTCACATGAAGGCAATGTCAAACCCTCTATGAACAAATCATGTTTAGAAAACCATTATAGGAGTGCCTTAAGTCAGAAACATCTTGAAGGTTCAGAACAGCAACAAGGAAATTAAACCAAAATGCTGTATAGGAGACGTAGTAAAGGGAATTCCTGTAGGGAAAGAAGTCAAGGCAGGTCCAACCTACCTACCTATTTAAGAGGATATTAGTCTCCTTTAACTTTTTGGGTTAATAGAAAACAATATCAATATGCATTTCATATAAATATGCAATTAACTTTCTGTTCCTTGATTAAAATTCATTTTTAATTTCCTTTTAATCAAAATATACATATTTAATCAAAACATATGTGTTTGTTTTTTGTGCTTCTGGGCATATTATACTGGATAATGACAGGCTGATAGCATCTCTTACCAGTTGAGAGGCCCTCCTATATCATTCTTCTTTTATTAGAATCCCACCCTCAGAATTCTGGAATCAAAGAAGATATAAATCAAAGGCAAGGAAAGT